GTGTGTATGTTGGACATGTTGTCTCTTCCTGGGTAAATGAAATGAATGAAAAGGACAAACCTAACAGGACAGAATAAGACAGAAAAGTTTCTGTGCAGATGTTTCTACTGTAACTAAATATAAACTGTTTGTTCTCAGGATGAGCTGCAGGCCAACCTGACCTATGCTACTGTTAGCCACTCCAAACCCTCTGAGAAGATAAAAGTAAGAGACCCAGGGAGCTTTGCAATCTTATAATTGTCCCATTTTAAATTTGTTTGATTTCCTAAAACCAATGAATGAAACAAATCCAACCTGCAGGTAGAAACTGACTGAATTCATCTGTTAAATGTATTATAGTATAATTACAGTTTATCTGTGACAAAGTTTCAATCTTTGCATATCGAAATATAAGGAGTGTTTCAATATGGCCGCTCCTTGCATCAGCAGTAATAAACTGGTGAAAACACATTTAGACACACTTGTACAAATGAGACTAAAATTAATGCTACATGAAGCTCCTGTAACTCTAAACTGGAAACATTTAAGTTGAGTTTTGCTTATGGAAAAACTTTAAGCGATGTTTGTAAGAGGTGCTTTGCAGAACGGTTACTTGGTGCCAGGTTCTAATTCCAACTTCACGTTAAATGGTTCACAGGATTACACCATCTATCATTCCTCTCCGCTCTTCCTGGTTCTGTCGGCCCAGAGTAAATGAAAACAATCCATGTTTATGTCCAATGACGTTAACCTCGTCTGACTGGTTCCCTGTAGTTTCTTTGAACGATTTGAGACGCCAACTAAGTAACTTTGTTGGGAGGAAATCTGTTTTCCCACAGTAATAGTAACATGGACGCTGGACAAAAGATGAAAGAAACTGAAAATAAAAACAAAGTCCTTACTGTGAGAACAAACAACTGAAATAAAAATACACTACATAACTAAATAAATCTTTTAAAGAGAATAAAAAGAGTGAGAGTATTTTAATGTGTCATGTTGAGTTTTAACAACCAAATATCTACAAGTGAAAAGTCTTTCATATGGAATTGAAACGGTTTGTGGTTTTTGTGCTGCAGGTCCAACCGGATGATGAAACTGTGACTTATTCTGCTGTGAGGACTAAAAAACAGACGAAGGCGGACATCGACCCCAGCGACGTCTACAGCTGCCTCACTGAGCCAAAATGAGGAAACAGGAAGTGAGACGTTTAATAAACCGCCTTACAGGAAGTGGGCTGCTGGGTTTAGGTTTCAGCAATACCAAAGATTTATTTACATCATGCTTTGGACGTTTTCTGTTGTTTTTAAGTGATCATAAAGATTTCTTTGCAGAAATGTACCGTGACTGAGTTATATGGTAAAGTTTTGTTATGTTTGTAAAATATGTGGACTGTAAATCCTGAACTAAAGAGAAGCAGCATGAATATGTAGTAACTGATGCATGAAGACCCACAAGCAGAAGTGCAAATATTCAAAGGAAATGTTGATTTGGTGTTGGATTAAATCCACCTTTATTCTGTAAGATACAACTTTCAAAATGCAAAAAACTCATCTGGAGACTTTTAGCCAGTTTATGCTTTAAGGTTTTGAACAAACCGAAGTTTTATTTTCTGTTCTGCTCATTTTCACATCTTTCTGGATTTATCTAAAATGCTTTTTATTATTTAGCTCTCCTGAGTTTATACAGCAGATTGTTTTGAACCCTCTAAGTTTCCATGTTTCAGCTGCTCTAACTTCTCATCCCTTTCAGAGTCCAGTTTAATGATCCTGGTTCTGATCAGAGATCAGTGTGGAAATGAGACAGTCAGACTGTCTGTCTCCCTCTGAACTGTTGTTCATTTTTATAAGCAGCTAAAAGCTCATTTTTAAACCAGATATTCACTTATTTTTCTGTATTGTTTTGAGCAATAATGTAAAACCTATTTTGAAAATGCTATTATGTATGAAAACTGAAAATAAAACATTTTTTAGTTACATTTTGCTTTACAACTCCTTGATTTTAATCTTGCTGAAAGTCTCATTGACTCTGTAAACTCCTTTTCTTTTTTGTGATTAGAGCCATTATGGTGCATTTCTATGTAACAGTAACTATAAACATTGTAAACCTGACTTTGTCCACTTCAGCCATTAACGAACAGCAGAACATTTTAGCACAGCAGGTTTCTTGTCGTATCAAATTATCATTTTGCTGCCCCCTAGTGGTAAAACTAAAATATATCAGCTACACATTCTTTGTCAGTAAATCGTTTCATATTCATGTTAAATAAGTAGATATTTACAAACGTATAATTGTAATTCTGTATTAAGAGTAACAGTTTTATTCCTCCAGTATTTTTTCATTGTTTGGAGGTTTTGACTGAGGCAGTGGTGAAGCTGCCTGCACTCTGATGTCCTGCAGTTTTGAACGCATCATTTGAACGGAAACGCCTTTCTGATCAGACTGACGTCAGCTGTGTGGCTTTGATGACGTGTTAAGATTCAAACATGTCAGACTTTACTATCGTGTAGTTTTATCTTTCTAACATAATTTCAAAACAGAAATGAATGGTTTGCTGATGTGTAGAAAAATATCATGGAACCACTGATATTTGGTTGTGGTTCTCTGGTTTATTCGCTACATTAAAGGACATCTGTGTGTGAAAGTTGTTTACTCACTACACATATTTACTATGTTACTGTAGGACGATGTAAATGTGTATTTTATTCTCCAGAATATTTTTTGTTTGTATCTAAATGTGTTTTTTATCTGGTTCCTCATTTTGCTGATGTTGCAAATCCAACAGCAGGTTTGTGTTTAAAGTTAAACAGATTCATATCAGAAAGACTTCAGATCTGTAAGAACAAAAAGTAGTTATTATTTTTAAATTCTGTAGCACTTTTCTGTGGTAGCCATCATGCACTGAATGAAAACTAAAAACATCAGGACAATAACAAAAACAGCTGATTTCTGAGCATCAAAAATATCAAACTGAGGTCACATGGAAAAAATGATGAGTCATTGTTTTTCAGTCAACAGATAATTTCGTAACATCTTAATCTGTCTGCAGGTTTGTGTTTCCATTTTTCATCCCATCTCTGAACAGCTTCCCTTTGTGGTCTGAGTTCATCATCGTTTTCTACCAGCAGGTAAACATTTTGAATTCTGCTGTTTGTTTTGATCTTTTCCACAGAAACTCGACCACAAAGAGGAAATAGATGCACTTCTACTTTTATGTGGCTTTAAAAGGGAGGCTTGTGAGAGGAAGTCAGACGAACAATGTCTCTCCTTGGAGCTCTGTTCATTTTTGTGCTTCAGTTTGAAGGTAAATGGCTTTTTATTATTACTTTAAGTTGTAGTTTATGGAAATAGTTTGACATGCATTGGAGTTTAAAAACAAGTTATTGTGTTTAATGGTCACTACTGACAAAGAGCGAACACAAACAAAACCCATAACAGAAGCTGCTTTCAACTGTATTGCAATAATTCTGGACTTTGCAAAGATGAGAGCAGAATTTCTAACAGAAAACATGAAAACATGCAGGATTAACAACAAACATGCACTGCAGGGTTACAGTAAAATGAGCACTGAAAGTATAATTTTAAATAAACACTTTCAAAACGTCAGAGGGAAACAAATGACCTCGAGCTGTTAAGCTGCTGAGTGATTCTCTTAAAACAGCTATTTGAGAGCTGAAACAGCGAGACTTCCCATCAGCTCCCATTTCATATTTCTGATTAAGCATCTGCAAATATTAGTCTGAATAGTCCTTTAAAACTTTTATTTTTTTTACAGCAAGTGTCTGTGGTATATCTAGAGCGGAGATCTACCATCCACTTGGGGAAGACGTAGTTTTGTTGTGTCGACTTCCTCAATCTGACCCACATGTTGGGGTTAAATGGCATCATGATGGAGAAACTCTTGTGTCGAACGGGACGATGATGGATGCTTCGTCTCGAGGAGGAAGGCTGAGCGTGAACATTTACGGATCTCTGATCATCAAGAAAGTTACGGCTTCAGATGCTGGAGTCTACACATGTCAGTTTCCAAACTCCATCAACGTTTTGGACAATGTGCTGTGTCTTTTGTCCAGTGAGTATTTGATCACCTGCACTTCAATCATTAGTCACTCCTGTAAATCCATAACTCCATTTCATATGAACCCACTCCGCCATTTTATCCCATCATATTCTGAACCATAAATAAACCCATATAAAAGCCGATAGGTAAAAGATACAATGAGGATTAACAAGAATGAGTTTGATTCTTGAGCTTTCTGCCACCTTGAGTGAGTCAAAGATCATCTTTAAATGTTTGTGGCGATAAGGTCGCCTGTTTGTACTAACAGGACAGAAATCAAAGGAAAACCTGAGTGACGTTGGCGCCTCACCTTCTGAAAATGTCTGTCGGTCAACTCGACTACATTTATGCTGGTTTATGCAGCAAAATATTTTGTTTGTGCTGCTTTGGCTTTGAAGATATTAAAAGGTTAAAGGTCAAAAGACCAACCAGTCTCCCCACTTTATGAAATCAAACATTGTGCTACATTTGTGCAGCAAAAACTTTCTTTTATATTGTTTTTTTTTTTTAAGACATTAGGAAATGTTTCCTGAGGTCATGAAAGGTCAACCAGTTCTCCCACCTTCTTCAAGTTACACAAAGTTAGTGTTGGTCAACTTGACTACATTTATGCAGCAACATTTTTTTGTTTGTTCTGATCTGGCTTTCAAGATATTATGACTTTTAAATGAAAGTTGTACTAACTGGCGCCCGGTGAACTCGACTAGGTTTACGCTGGTTTGTGCAGCTATTATTTCAAAGATATTCATAAAAATGTTCTCCAAGGGTCATCAGAGGTCAACTCCTCCCCATCCCCACACACATTTGAAAATAAATCAATTTGGTGTCAATCACCTCGACTAAGTTTGTGCCGGTCAGTAAAGGTTTGTGTTTGCACACCTTTCATCCACGGTGCAGAACCTGAGGAACTTCCTGCTTCAGGTTCCCCACACTGCTGTTTTATCCTCCACTTTGCTTTATGGAGAGACGGCTCAGTTTATGCAGGCAGCCTCATTTATGCACTACAATGTTTCAACAACAAAGCTTGTGTACAAACAAGAGGTCTCACTCTGTCTCAAACTTTAGTTTTGCGTCTGGTGACTCAAAGCAGTAAGAGTTTCCAGAAATTTAGCTCAAAAGTGGAGATACTTCATAGAATTAGTAGTCAAGTGACAATAAAAGGTAAAACTACTTGCAAAACCTTTTTTTCTAAAATGTTGTCAAGTCCATGTAACTGAATAAATGTAACTAATTACTATCCAGCCATTCAAAGAGTCTTAAAATGTTTCTCTCTCCTTGTTTCAGTCTCTCCATCTCCACCAGATTCTGAGTGTAAAAAGAACAAAATTATGGATTTAAACTGCTCTCTGATTTGCAACGCCTTCTCATGTCGAGAGGGCAGCTTTGTCTGGCTGAATGAAACTGGACATGTGTTACAAGAAAAGAAAGATGGTCAGAACTTGGATGCAGGCTGCAGTTCAGTTCTCACTGTGAACCGTCTGATGGGAAACTACCGCAGATACGGCTGTCGGTTTGTTCAGAAAGACCGGGTCAAAGCAGAGCTTCACTACACGCCTGTCTTCTCAGGTAAATGATCGTTGTTCTTCATTTGTAAGAAATGCTGCGTATGTCAATATTTAAAATGTGTCAGATTAGTTTGAATTCGTGTCAGAAACCCAGAAGAAGCGACATTAAAACATGTTGTTCAGATTCCACAGACTGGCCCGTTCTGAGCTCCGTCCTGCTGATTCTGCGCGTCGCAGGACTGATCCTGATGATCTGTGTTGTTGTTGTTGTTTACATCAGAACCAGAGGTGAAAAACTTTACAGACTCATTACAACATGCATCAGAAAATATGAAATCAAAATGATATCTGCCCTCTTCCAGGAAGCAAGAAGCCACCGAAGGACATCAATGTGAGTAAAAAAAAGACTTTTGACTTGATCTTTTTTTTTCACCTTGTTGCCATGGAAACTTATTTATTTTGACAGCTGTGGTCTGACAACTTAATATTTATTCCTCTGAGCTTTTTTTGCAGGAAATACAAATAATTTCCTAATAATTTCTTAATAAGATCAATAACTGGTTCAGTGGTTATAATCTAGTCGGTACCACTTACTGTGCATATTTGGGTCAAACATTTCTAGATCTCTTTGAACCAAAAATAATAATAATACCCTGTGAATAAATTAAAAATGTGTCTTTTAAAATGCCAAAACATTATTTCTGTTTTTATTCAGTGAGATTTCTTTCTTTTATCTCAGGTTCATTTTGTCTGCAGAGACGGCTCTCTGAGCTATGAAAATATTGGAGTCTGTTCTTCTACTGTCAGTCACTGAACTTCACCACAACAAGCTTTACATATCAGCTTTGACTATTTTAAGTTTTTATTGCTGTATTACTATTTAAATGTTACAAAGCTAATAAATCATAGGAGGATCAGGTGAAGAGACAGAAGTCCTGAGTAAAAATGTTTGTTTCAGTCTAAATGTTGTGGGGAAACTGCAGGACAGGAAGTAGAGGAAGAATAAAGTGAATGTTGATCTACATTAGCAGTAAAAAACTCTGAAAACGTTTCTGTGTACTGGAGCTTGTGCATGAAAGTGAAAGGTTTATTTTATTTATCATGTCATTGTGTTTTTTCCTTCTTACATTTTTAACACTTCTTTGTTTAATGTGATGCTTTTTAACGTGTCCTATCTCTGTTGTCTTGTTTTCATGTAAAAAAACAACTTTAATTTACTGTATGCATGTATGATACAACTAATAAACTTCCAATATCTTTAAATACCTGCTTATTAATGGCTTACAAATATTTCATAGCTTAGTTATGCATTTACTATTTTTAATTATGTCTTATTGTAAAAAGTCTTAAAGTGGCACCAAAAAAGATTTTTAATATTTTTTTCTATTAGTCATTACTAATTATTCTTGAAATACTGACTTTCCTCTGCATGGCATGCATCAAACTCGAGGCCCGTGGGCCACATATGGCCCGCCACAAGATTTCATGTGGCCCTTAAACCTGTAGAAAAAGAATCTTTAAGTTAATATTGTATGTATATATCAATCAATCAATCAACTTTATTTAAAGACGCAAAAATAGGTCCATAGAGTAAAAGATAAAAAACAAAAAAACAAAAAAGCAAATATACAATAATAAAAAGAAAATTATAAATACAGTAATCACATAACCAAGTCACTGAATTGCCATAAGGCTACATCGCCAGTGAGTCCACATTTTGGACTTACACCTGACTGAACTTCGTGAGATGTCTATTAGTGACAAGATAATGTTGTTTGTGGAGACACATAGCCTCGCCATGAACCTGTACATAAGATGTCGCAACACAGCATGAAAAGTGGAGACCCCGACACCGATAAATGTCTGACTAGCACTGGTCCATCTCGGCATCCTTAGCAGCAGCCTCATTCCGTCATTGTAGGCTACCTTAAGCTTCTGTAGAGTACTTTCCTCCAGAGGTGAGTAGTATACAGTGGGGTACAGAATGCCTTAAAGAGAGCCACTTTGACTGGGACAGAACACATCCGAAACTTACGTAACAGCATGTTAGCTTGTGCATACACTAAACGCCGTTATCTATTGATGTCCATGTCATCGGTTAAATCATCAGTTATATAGTGACCCAGATATTTCACAGCAGTACAAACTCTAAGAACAACACCCGATAAGAAGAAATCTGGAAGTACCAACTTCTGATCCTCCTTGGTCCTTGCAATCATAATATTACTCTTCAGTGCATTGTACTGAATGTCATACTCCTGACCGTAGTTTGAGCAGGTCCTCAGTAGTTGTTGAAGACCAGCAGGACTGAAAATAACTAAATCATCGGCATACATAAGATGGTTAATTATAGTCCCACCAACAACACAGCCTGTCCCACATTGTTGCAACCAATTTGATAAATCATCCATATATACATTAAACAGAAGAGGAGACAAGACACTACCCTGTCTAACCCCATTACTTATTTTAAAAGGGGCTGACACACAATTACCCCATCTTACATACATCAGCTGATGCTTGTACCAAAAAGATAAAATCCTGACAATAGATCCAGGAACCCCTCTGTTATGTAGCTTGTGAAATAACTTGTGCAGGAACGGCTATTTATTAATATTTTAACAGCATTTTAATAGTTTTATAAACGTCCCGCCTCAAACGGCCCATAAACACATCCTTGATCTTGATGTGACCCAAAATGAAAGTGAGTTTGACAACCAGCTTTCCATCAAGTTATCAGAAAACATCTAAAACTCATCAGATTAATTTTGACAGGAAGGAAAAAGACACGAACTCAAACTTTTAAACATGATTAAAATGCAAATATAGTTTGTTTAAAGTTGAGTTTTTTAAAAATAAACCAGCTGATAAATTGACTTGATGAAATATAAAGCACTTCTGTTGGATAACTTGTTTGTTTTCAGTCAGAAAGCAGCACATAAAGGAGCAGTTAATATTTTGATCATTTCCTGTATGAGAGCAAATCTATCTGGAAACTAAAGAAAAGTTTTTTCTAGCACTGAATAAAAATCATCTGTGGTGGACTTGATGTTAAACAGTCTGGATTAAAGCTGAATATACTTGACGATTTTGTCTTTACACTTTTTTTAAATATTGAAACGTTGATCAGTGATTAGTGTCAGAGTTCTGAGAACGTGACAGGAAACAGGAAGCTGATTGCAGTCTCACTTTTTCTTTAAGCTGGATCCTCTTTAGTTTCACTGGAACTGATGCTGCTTAACCCAAAAAGCAAACAGTTAAATATTTTTACAGCACATATTATGCACAATGTTATCCTACACCATATGTTTTTGGACTTTTAGGATAGATTATTGTACAGTTAGTTGGTTTATTGGTTATGATATGTGAGAGTACTTTGGAAAAAGTAAAAAACAAATCTTGGTGCCAAATGAAGTGTTCCTCCAAAAGGAATGGGGAAAAGACGTAAAGGAGGGAAAAAAGTAATTTGTTTGTGGTTCAGCCAAAAATCACCATGACAATCAAATAAATACTGATGAAGATGAGTTGTGGGGGTTGGCTGAACTCATCAGTCAGTCGGTCACAAACAGGAAATAAGAGAAACGTCTTCAGATCACAGAGACGCTGCCCAGCGATCAGCAGCTGTAAGATGGCAGCTCTGGGATTTCTTTTCCTCTTTGTTCTTCAGTTTGAAGGTAAACATATTTTACTCCAAGTGTTTGATTATAATTTTAGATGTCTTCATTCAATTCAGACTTCAAATGTTAAAATTTGGAAGTTTATCAAGTTCAACAATCTGTTTATTTGAAGGAAACTGGTTCTGGCGAACTTTTTTTATGAAGAAACCAGCAAAAGATTTTAATTTTCAATAATGTTGATTTCTTAGCCATATTCTCTCCTGTCTCTACAAATATTGTCAAACTTATTTTAATGTACATCTTTTATTTATTTTTGTTGCAGCGAGCATCAGTGCTATGGCGTTTGGGCATTTCTTCTGTGGACGTGGGGAAGATGTGGCTTTGCCGTGTTCCACTTTTCAATCTGACCCACCTGTCAGGGTTGACTGGAGCTTCGGTGAAGTCACCCTGGTGGAGGACGGGTCACTGGTGGAGGCCGCGTCCCGAGCTGGAAGGCTGAGCGTGAACCATGAAGGATATCTGAACATTAAGAGAGTCAGGCCTTCAGATGCTGGAAACTACCGGTGTTCCTTTAAGAACATCCTTTACGTTAGAGATTTCCGGCTGAGTGTTTTGTCCAGTGAGTATTCAACCACCTAAACCTCAATCATTCTGCTTCTGAGCTTTTAGAACAGATCTTTATCTCCTGTTTCATGCTGCAGATTCCCACAGTCGGGTCAAACTCATAGTCATACCTCCATTAGATACACACACCACCAGTTTGTCCCGTCACATTCTGAAGCATTGCTAGCCATTAATAGTCTATAAAAATAAAATGTGGCAAAGATAACATATTGAAAACACAGTTTCTGACGTCTCAGTTCCAGATATTTATGGAGTTTAGTGGCTGCCTTAAAACTTATGCAGCAACAAAATCTTTTTTGAGGCAGGCATCTTCTTAAACATCCAGTCAGTCTTGGCAGATTGCCGTTTGTACTGAGCCAGGTTCTGGTTCTGCTGGACGTTTCTTCCTGTTAGAGGAGAGTTTTCCTCTCCACTGTCGCTACATGCATGGTCAGTATGAGGGTTGCTTCACTTTCATTTCCTCCTCCTGGCTGCATTATGCAGATTCGGTTTAGTCCTCTTCTTATTTTGGTCAGGCAGGAGTTTCATTCTGTGGAGTAAAATGAATAATGCTATAAACTGAGTTTTACTTCTGATGAGACTCAATGCTCAGATTCAGGAGCTTTTTGTCATTATGTGAACAGTTTTATATCACAAACATTAAAACAGAAGCTCAGCAGGGACATAAGACCAAAGTTTGTTTTTCTCTCCTTGTTTCAGTCTCTCCATCCCCACCAGATGAGTGTAAAGAGGATCAAATCGTGGATTTAAGCTGCTCTCTAAGCACCGACAGCTTCTCGTCTCTAGGGGACAGAATTGTCTGGCTGAATGAAACTGGAAATGTCCTGCAGGCAAACAGAGTCGGGCTGAAAGGAAAGGTTTCAGTCCTCACTGTGAAATGTCCGATGGGAAACTACAGAAGATACACCTGCCAGTTTGTTCAGAAAAACGATGTCAAAGCAGAGGTTCACTACACCTCTGTCTTCTCAGGTTAGTGACACATATTCATCATTTTCCATGTATGAACTGCACTGCTGGAAACATCAACCAAAGCTTTCATTTGCAAAATGAGTGAAGATTGGATTTATTTAGATTTGATGTCACAAACGTCTGAAAATGGGACAAAAAACAGGATGTCTGATTTTCAGCGTTGATTTGATTTCTTTATTTGTTTATTTATTTACTCATTAAATAATTTATCAACATTTCAAAAGACTTAGAGTTTGACCGAAGCATAAGTTTCTTTGTGTGCTACTCATCAATTTAAACTAAACTGCCTCTCCATAGATATACTAAAAAAGCATTAGAAGTTATTTAAACTCATAGTCCTATTTTATAATATTTTTGTAATAATTTTTTTGGAAATCCATAATGATCTGCACACTCATAAGTCACATTTGCATCATTCCACAATTTAGTTGACAGCAGACATTTTGAGCTTTTTTTAGCTTGTTTTGTAAACATGCCAATCATGTTTTCATCCATTTAAAGTAAAAAATATTAATACCTCAGCAGGTAGTAAGCTTATTTTTCTTCTAAACATTATTTGCAATATTTTAAAATCAACATTTCATTGCAGCTGATTTAAAAAACTGGATTTGTATGTTAGTAACCATGGTAACCAGCCTTATTGATGACATGCATCACTCGTTTTTGTAAAAGAACTATATTAACTATAATATACTTCCTCACAGTAGCATGTGTAGAGAAGTTTAAATGAACAATAAACTATATCTAAAGCCTTATAATTTTATATGTTTTTACACTTATACATTATTGTCTTTGCAATCTTATCCTGTTGATATGTTGTCTCCTCCACAGTCTCCATATTAATATAGTTGATAATCTTACCACAGAAGAAGAAGACTGCAGTTTGAGAGAATTGGCAAAATAAAGTTTATATGAAGCAAACTCTCTCCTGTCTCTACAAATATTAGGATGTGAATAATCATGTTTGTTTTTTTTTTTGTTTTTTTGCAGACAACGTCGGTTTTAAAGTGGATGATGTGTCCTTTCATGGACGTGGGGAAGACGTTGTCCTGTCTTGTCCGCTCTTTCAGCCCGACCCGCATGTCGGGGTTAACTGGAGCCGCGGCAGAAATCCTCTGTCTCTGGTGGAGAACGGGACAGTGATGGAGGCGTCGTCTCCGTCTGGACGGCTGAGCGTGAGCAGGGAAGGGTCTGTTGTCCTCAGAAAGGTCACGACCTCAGATGCTGGTCACTACAGATGTTGGTTCCAGAACCACATTGACGTTATGAATACTGTGCTGTGTGTTTTATCCAGTGAGTATTTTAACTTGTTTTTCTGCTTCTTAATTGACTGAACTTAGCAGCAAAACATTCTTATTTACAGCTCAGATGAACATTATATCAGTTTTTACAGGAAGTTCTGTTTAGCAAAACGATGCTCACCAGATCGTCACTCTGAAGGTTCAAAGAGTGAAACAAAAAAAGGTTAACGTTGGTCTAAAAATAATCAGTGAAGTCAAGCAAATACTTCAATCAATGCATTTATGAGCATTTAGAAGTTTTGCTTCAGAAAAAGTTTACGTAAATGCCAAACCTGTCATGAACATGTTTAATACACCCATAGATCCATCTTAATCTTAACTCTACTGCCACATTTAATACCTGCAACGTTTCTAGAGGGCTTAATGTTTCCTTTTTTATATTGAGTTTCAGTATTGATCCAGAGCAGCTTTACTTTTTACTTCTGCTAACACACTGAGACTTTTTGGCAGTTTAATAGTGTAATTATTAGAATTTAGTTTCTACTGCAGTCAAAAGAAAAATAACAACTCTAAGATTTTTTTATGTTTTAAACATTATTTTAATGTGAAGAAAAGTCACACCAGTCCTTTTCCTTTTAGTCTCAGCACTAAACCTTGTGAGCCATTTGTCATTGAAGAGTAAAAAAAATCACGTGTTGAAGCAAAAATTCAGCAGGAAAATGAGATAAATGTTTGTTTTCCTCTCCTTGTTTCAGTCTCTCCATCTCCACCAGATGCTGAGTGTAAAAATTATCAAATCGTGGATTTAAGCTGCTCTCTGATGTGCATCGACCTCAGCTCATGCCCAGAGGGCAGCATCGTCTGGCTGAATGAAACCGGGAATGTGCTGCAGGAGAAAAAGGTCGGCTTGGAGGGAGACACAGGCTGCGTTTCTGTCCTCACTGTGAACCGTCTGATGGGAAACTACAGGAGGTACAGCTGTCGGTTTGTCCGGCAAGACCAGGTCAAGATGGAGGTTCACTACACGCCTGTCTTCTCAGGTAAATACTAGAAGACATGATTTATTTAAATTCGTGTCAGAAACCCAGATGAAGCGACATTAAAACATGATGTTCAGATTCCACAGACTGGCCCGTTCTGAGCTCCATCCTGCTGATTCTGCGCGTCGCAGGACTGATCCTGATGATCTGTGCTGTTGTTGTTGTTTACATCAGAACCAGAGGTGAAAAACTTTACAGACTCATAACAACATGCATCAGAAAATATGAAATCAAAATGATATCTGCCCTCTTCCAGGAAGCAAGAAGCCACCGAAGGACATCAATGTGAGTAAAAACACCAAATACTTTTAATCAGGCCTGCCTGATTAAAGAAATGTGGTTTTGGGGCCGTCTAGTTCTGCTAACACTGTGGACCGGCTGCAATCAGCAGTCCGATCATTAGATCATTAACACTCCTGCTATAAACTATTGGATTTCTGGCTGTTTACATTATATACATATATAATAGGACACATTTATTGGCCAACTGATTAATCGACCAGTTGATTTCTGGGCGCCGATTTCCTTAATTTTGTGGGATCATGATTGGCCGATACTTACACATGAAGCCCATCTTATCCTCTGATCTTCATCACCAAAGGTTTATAAATCAGCCTCTGTCCTCTTCTGCTCTGCAGTGAGAGGTTTGACTGACAGACCAACCAGGTTAGGTCTGCATGTTTACAGTTAACAATATTCACCCACTGCTGCAACTCAGTGACTTTCTTGCTACATTTAGCAACATTTCAGACAAATAAATTTTATATCAGCCAAAATCAAAATCAGCAGCTCAGCTTTTTAAAGATCGGTAACCAGGGATCGGCCAGAAAACTGCAATCGGTGCAGCCCTACACACATATTCATGACATTCTTTGATTAAATAAATTTCTCTTAAGCGTTACTCCAATAGCTAAAAATGTAATTTATACCAGGTGAGTTTTTCTCCCCTGAGAATGTGGACCGGTACCGGTACTGGACTGATTCTGAGCCTTCAAATGATTTTAACAGAAGTTTCACATAACCTAGAATGTTTTAGCCACAAAATGATTATTATACTCAACAGCAAACAACAAATCCCAACTACAGCATAGAGCAGCTCATCCATGTAGCAGCCATGTAGCCTGACGTAAAAACATTTTGCTAGATAATGTCAAACATTGAGAAGTTTTAGTTATTGTTATCAAACGTTATCAAACTCGGCATTTTGAAGCCAAAAATAAATACCTCAGAAATATACAGAGCCACCATCAGAATAAATTAATCTAGAGTTTAAACTCAGTTTCACACAAAGACGCTAGCATAAATGTTTGGCCTCCAGGTCGCTATCAAGCTAATTTTCTACTAGCAGCTTTACTAATCTTTACATTACATCACCAAGGCTCATTAAAACAAACCTTCATCTTGGCTTTTTCTATTCTTCCTCTTTCTTTTCTCCCTCCCTGAAGGATAAGTCCTTTTTTGAGACATTGTTTTGCTAATTTAACTTCTGACCAGAGCTTTGGACGTTTGGATGCTCATTGCAGTTCATATTTTACCGGCGAAGCGTGCAGTACCTACCGCGGCCACCAGGGGGCCCCCAAGAGCAATTATTGTTTTTTTCTTTTTATCAGTAAAATAATTTCTACATACATTATAAAATATATATTATTGTAAAAACAAAACACTGCATAGTGAAATTGTGTTTTTGATATGACAGAAATTACTAAAAAAAATTAAAAAAATCAGCTCCACTGAGAGGGCCCCTTGGTGGCCCCGGGGCCCTCCTTAGTATGATATGCCTTGAGCCGGCCCTGCTTTTAATGCTTAGAAAAACAAAATGGCAGCTGGGAAAATTTAATTCAATGTAATTTTCTTTTTTTTTTACTTGTTGCCATAGCAAGTTATTTATTTTTGATAATTGTGGTTTATGACAGCTTAAGATTTATTCCTTTAAGGTTTTTATTTTTGAAAAGTGTTTTATCACAGTAAAAATAGTTACTTTGTGTATTTGGGTCAAACATTTCCAGACTTTATTGAACCAAAAATACTTTCTTGTGTCTGGAAATAAATTAAAATGTTTCGTTTGTTCAGTTAAAATGCCAGATTATTATTTCTGTTTTTATTTAATGATTTCCTTTTATCTCAGGTTCGTTTTGCTGCAGAGGCGGCTCTCTGAAAACATTGGAGTCTGTTCTTCTCCTGTCAGTCACTGAACTTCGTCACATCAGGCTTTACATATTTTGACTATTTTAAGTTTTTAATGCTGCATTACTTTTTAAATGTCACAAAGCTAATATATCTAGGGTTTTCTTTTTTGTTGTTGTTTTGGACAGAAGAAACTGAGGCAGATGAACCAACCTGTAATCTCTCAGGTCAGGAAACCTGTTAAAACTGATTGTTGTTGGTTGTATGAATGTATAACAGATATATTCATGTTACTGGCGATGAAGACGCCCTGTATTAAATCCAGATATATTAGCATTTAGCTGCTTTGTATTGAATCTTTAATATTAATCAATTCACTTCAGTTTTGCTTCCGTTCAGTTGGAGAAAATTGTGGCACATCCACACATTTATCTATTCAGTGCTTGGATGGGTTCAAAGGTCACCTGGTGACATTATGTAGAGCTGGCAATCGATTGTTAATCTTATCTCCTGCTCTATCCTGAGCTATTGGGAGCATATATAAGAGGGGTCCTCGGATTGGACCTTGGGTTTCCCCACATGCGACTTCTGTCTGCTTTGAAACACAAAAATAAAAACTCCTTCAATGTGGAAGATGGACTGGTTTGTTGAGAGCAGAGCTGAAAGTAGCAAACAGGGGGAAGAACGGTTGCTGCTTTAATTAAACCAGTAACAAAAAGGAAATGACAGAACTGGCTCTTTTAAAGAAACAACAACAAAAACCCAAAAGGCATCATCTAATTTTGTGAAAATTCAGCTCCCAATGTAAAAACAAAACAATGCTTGATATGAAAAAAAATCTAAAAATAATTGTGAGAATTTTTCTTCTTTGACAGTTTATATAACTTTCTGTATCTTGTTGCCATTTTTTCTAGAGAAAGGTCAAAAGGTTGAGTAATTTCAACATAAATTTTCCACTGAGTCATTTTTCTCCATTTTGTCGAAGATCTATATTTACATGCAACTATTGCTCTATTCTATTCCACTCCTCTGACTGTGAGACACCAGAGCTCATTTCTAAAACATTGTGTTGGATTTATATTAAATAAATCGTGTGTTTTAGCATACACATGCACAAAACACGGCAAATAACTCCAAATTTCTAAACAAATCCAGATTTTATACACCAAAAGACAATTTTCCTTTTATAAATCCCAGCTGCACCTCAGTTTGCTACAATTCAACCATAAATGTTCAATGCAAAGAACCTCATGGATGTAGAGGTGCATTTAATGAGAAAAGAGCAAGTGATCCATCTTAAAAACATGGAGTTAATTTGCTTCAAAGAATAAAATTAAGTTTATCCAAGCAGATATGTTACATTTATTAAGTTGCCATGTTAACCAAATACAAATAAAGTAAGTTTGACTAAATTAATCTGATTACATTTAACAAATTAACTCAATTTCTTTTAAGTTGAAGCTCTGTTTTCTTTTTTCAGTGAACATTATCTCCCCATGTTGATCATCTGTGCAGATTAATGAGTCGCTTTACACAATTTTTACACTTTTATTGTTATTCTGATTCAAATTAGTCTGATAAATAAGATGATAAACTGGATGCTGGTTTTGGAGCTGCAGGATGTTGCAACTCATTGGACTTCCTCTTTCAATGGAAGATTCAACAAATTTACATTTTCAGACTTTCTACTACACTGGATGATGAAAAGCAAAATAACATCTTTAGATGGTTGTTCGTGTTTAATGTCTATTATCATAAATTTGTTCTGCAAAACAATCGGTCCATATCCTGTTTAAAAGAAGTTAACGGTATGGAAACCACATGACGTCATGCGTGGTGGGTGTTGCTTTATTCATACTAACTAAAAGAAGGAAGTTACATCGTCTTCACTTGAGGCTGAGAGAGTTGAACAGCGTCCGGCGGCCGCTGGACTGACAGGAAATGGCCAAGCTGGAGATATTTCTGCTCTTTGTGCTGCAGCTTGAAGGTAAATATTTAACTTACATGTTGAATGTTGATTAATAACATTAGAAGGCATTTTCAAAGCCACATCAGTTATATTATAAAATGAAAGTTATATAAATTGGATGTTTCATGTAGAATTAAAATAAAGTACAAAAAATATGAATCAGACTCCACTGCTTTCAGCTGATGTAAGAATAAAAGTTTCAGATTTTGTCTTTTTCTGTTAAAAGGTATCAGTGGAGATGAACCTAATGTCTATCACACAGTTGGAGACGATGTTGTGTTACCTTGTGTTGGTCCATCTTCTTCATCGTGCCGCAGTGTTATATGGCTTTATAACGACATTCTTGACAGTCCGACTAAGTCCAAAGTCTCAGATGGAAAAATTAACCAGCAGTCAGTTAATGCTGCCAGGCTGAGTTTGGACACTGACTGCTCTCTGGTCATAAAGAGCATCATTCCTGAGGATGCTGGACGTTATAGCTGCCGGAGAGGAAACACAGACAGCCTAATGTATCTGAATATTTTATCCAGTAAGTGTTGTTTAGTTACATGTTTTGCTAATTTCAATATAAAATACACCGAGTGTGTGTGGAGAGGCAGGCATCCTGGGATGGCCTGCAGGATGAAGAATCTTCTCAATCTGGGTTTTTGTACTTTATTAAAATCACTACAATACTTTAACATAGTAGTCATGAAGTAAAAAGTGATTAAAAATATCTACTGATATATAATATATATTCTGCCATCTTGTTTCATTTCAGTCTCTCCATCTCCACCAACTGGTGATGCAGCAAAGGATGGAAATATAAATCTACAATGTTCTCTGTGGAAATATTTTATTACCCGTTGTTCAGATAACAGATTCATCTGGATAAATGACGTTGGAGCTGAACTAGTTGGTGAAAATGTCTCTGACCAGAAGACCAGTGAACAGATCCAGTGTGTTTCCTCTCTGACTGTGAAGCCTCTGAATAACAGATACACCTGCCTGTTTTTTGAGGGAAACACAATGAAGATAGAAGCTCACTACACAGTTTTATCTAGAGGTAAGGGACTTTGTGTCTTTAAGTATTAAAGGAATCCAGCTGCATCTACCTGTTTTAGCTGAGCAGATGTCAAGATGTGAACGACTTTAGTGTTTTTAAGCTGACTTGATCTGCAGACGTTCAGCTGCTTCCTCCACTGAGGCTAATATGAACCAGACATGAAACATCTCAGTTTACTGTCTGTTCTATGTGAAGATAAAAACATGTTATGAGTCTGTCTCAGCGTGTTGGAGAGAAGATGCTGATTGGATGAAAATGATCCAATCAGGTTGCTGCTCCGTCTCCTCCTCAGGCCCCCCCGCCTCGTCTCCTCTGAGCTTCATCATGTTGACTCTGAAGATCACAGGACTGATCCTGATGGTTGGACTCACTGTTGGTATCATCAGAACCAGAGGTGAGGAAACTCAGCTACCATGGAGACAATTTACACACTTTAATCACTTTATTCTGTTTTTCACTGCAGGAAGAAAAAAGCCTCAGAAAGACATTAAAGTAAGAGAAACAATCATGATGAATACATTCATAGACCTTTTATATGTAGAGTGGCTGTTAGAAAATAGATGGATGTTCATTTAGTGTCTGTATCAGTTTCATCCAGTTAATCTCTGCTTGTATCTCAGGTTCGTTTTGCTGCTGATGACGACACAGTGAGCTTTGAAAATGATGGAGAACGTTCTGCTGCCGCCGCACTGCACTGAGCTTCATCA